CGCCCCCGTCACCCTCTCTGGCATACGTATGCAATATACCAATGTTAAATGCAACATTCGCGGATTCTATTTACGTCTGCGTGTTTATTGTGCGTGTATGAACTTTATCGGCTCGTGTCAATCACGGAGAGGAAGAAAAAACGACATCGGAAACAACGACAACAGCTAGCACGACAGGGAACACGCGGAATCTGGCTTTTCGCGATATTAACGTTCGGCATTGTCTTTTTATAAAGAAATATGAATTAATAACATGTTTTGTTAAAATTAAATTAATTTCTTAGTTTGATTTCAATTATCGATTGAATTGTCGAAATGGGTTTGAGCGTTTGTTTTTTTTGTATAGTATATTCTATTTTGTCAGATTTTTTCAGTGAAAAAACTAAATCGGGGTCAGGCGTGTTTGACTGGAGACGATGCGTCTAGAGAAATATTTGATACGAACAAATGACGTAATAGAATGTTAAAACGGACCGTGCCAATACGTCATTAGATTCCTCCGCTTGTCTAATATTATAGGCAGCAATCGTAAGGGCTTAATATAAGGGTGAAGGTAAGTGGCGGACCAGCTGACGCCGACTCCACCCTGCACGCACGCTGCGACTCGTCTTGAGGGTGTGTGGATGAGATTTAGGGACCGACGACAGAAGTCTGTTCCCGACACTGATTTGTGGGTGACCTTTGTTTCCACTCTCAAGGACCGCGGGACGACTGTGTCGATTTCTTATGGCTACAATGTTGCTATATTGTTTCAGAGGATTGTAAGTCTCCGGTATAACCTAATAAAATTGATTGGGCGAACTTAGAGGTTCTATGTAAAATAAAGATTTTCTTGTGAATAAACAGACAGTTTGATATAAAGGAAAAAGAAATTACCAGGATTTGGCCTCCTGTCGTGATTTCCTCCTAGGATGGCGTTCACGCTGAATTTCAATTGCGGCTTCTCCTTCTCCTGGATTCTTCTGCACCCTGGTCCCGTACACCGATCATCGCCGCAGGTACACGTTTCCTCGCCTATCCTGTCGATGCGATCAGCATCCCGGTCCGTGTGGATCCTCATCTCATCGGTTCCGTGTATTCTCCCAATGTCAAATCTTCTCTCGATCAACGGTATGGAAATGCGATCCCGTTCACTTCGCAGGACGTCGATCCGGTCTCGATCCTGGATACTGGCGTCGGTCTCACCGGATATCCTGTCCTCGTCCATGGAATTATTTGAATCCATAGCGGAGCTAGATCTGTTCTCGATTCTCTCAGCCAGTCTCTCCATGACGTTACTCAGCCTGTCAATTCCGGCGGACGCCGGGGTATCGGTCCTCTCGTTATCCAAGTCCATCGTACCCAGATTCCTATCGGGATCCTTATCCTCGAGACGATCCCGCGAATCCTGCATAGCCGCCATTCGGTCCATGAGGATCCTATCCCTATCACTGACCATTCTATCCGAACGTTGATCCCGCTCAGGATCGTACGATCTGTCGCTGACTGGTGTCCTACCGTTTCTCTCGTAATCCTGATCTCTTTCCATTCGTATATTCTCGGACTCTATTCTTTCGCGCTGACGAGCCACGTAACTGGCTAGATTGAGCGTGAGGCTTGCCAGGTTGCCGCCGGGCGCTTTGCTCTGCAGCAGGTTCTCCATCAGGAACGGTGACGTCGTCATCGCGCTCTGTTGCAGATTCTTCAGCATCGCTGCCGACGAAGGGAACATCACACTGTATCTCCGCACTCCCGAATTAGCTAATTCGCGTAAACTCGTTACGGATTTGTCAATTTTTTAATTATTTCTATTTTATTATCAACAAGCTTTTATATTCCTACCAGGATGCACTTTATGAGAATCCTCAAAAGATCGATGATCTTTAATCGAGCTGATTGCATCTCTGCCTATGAAATTTTACTGCGAGTTTCACGTACACATTAGAATATTACAATAAGATCAAGAGACGATATACACTGTGTTCTACTTCAAACCGATCTTGAAGTCAGTCACATCAAAAAACGTCTACGGGTTCATACCCACGTAATGTTCACTCCACGTGTCACTCCGAATGAGCCCTTCTAAATAAATCACGATCTCGATCAATATTTCATACAGCGGGTAATCGATATTCACGATTCACAGTATCAGAATCCAGATCTTACAAGCCGATGAGATTGATCTCTTAATAACGATCTCATTAATGTTCACTGTAGATCACATTCTTCGGCACAAGATCGCGGCACGTTCTATTTTGACAGTAGGCGAAAGAAAGAAAAAAACAATATAATTTTGTAAATTTATAATATGACAGTAAGAACGACAATTTTGACAACCGATAATAAAAGCATGGACAAGGGATGCTCGTGGCCCGTATAACCAGGCAGATACGAGTGCTCGGATGCAGAATGTCAACTGACGTAAGTTAGCAAGGGGCGCCGCAACGTGAGCGAGCAACCCTCGAATGAAAGCCTACAGAAAAGCATAGGTGGGCTACCCCCGTCCTGGCATCCCCCTCAGTTCCTCCGGCATGC